AGCAGTGGTATCTCGGCAGGGTTTTGTATCAGTCGAATTCTGTTGGTGCAATATTAATGCTTCACTCAGTCTCACATCTTTTCGAAAAGCGTAGACCACCTGCTCATCTTGTCTTTCAGCCACTGCGGACGCCGAGCAAAAGGCGCCCGCCCAAACTGCGCACGTGCCTCCAAGCACATCTCTGTGCCCCCAAGATCCCTGCCTCATTGGCGACTTCATTCCGAGCAACCGCGCGGCCACCACCATCTATGGGCCAGTAAGGAAGAAGACGAACTTCCTGGCTTCGTCGAAGGATTAAATCTCCGCTTTCCTCTCAAGGTTTCCGGCCGCCCAGCGAGTTCGGGTGAATTTCCGGCGATGCCTGGTTGCGGTTGGCACCCACCCCACCGCCTATCTGACCCTACTGCAGGTTCGGGTGATCTGTGATCCGGGCCAAACAACTGGACATGAACACCTGTGTCGGCATGGTTTTTGGAGTGAGCCAGATGATCCCCTTCGAGAGCCTAGCCGACTACATTGTGTCAACAGTGCCATTCGTGTCCGCAGAGGCAACTGCCTCACTCTCACCTTCGTGGGGGACGGTGAAACTGCAAAGGCGACATCTTCGTCCTCGTCAGCCCCGGCCCCAGCAGTGTTTTCATTGCGGCCGCTTCGCGCATGCAACCACCACCTGCTCGCGAGACGAACGGTGGCTGCGCTGCGGCGTCAAACACGCCCCAGGACAGTGTGCAGCACAATATCCTCGTTGCATAAACTGTCGAGGGAAACATACCGCAACCGAGCCACGCTGCCCGTCCTGGCAACTCCAGCGCATATCGCGGTCATCACGGTCTCAACAGACGGCTCCATGACTTACCGCCAAGCCTTTACACATACTTGACACACGCCCGGGTAGCCGCGCCACTATTGTCAAGGGATGCTCTTTCAGAGATGCGCTAGCCGGTGGCACGACCTCGGAGGCCGCCCCAGATCCTACAACGAGTGCGCCCGTGGTCCCCACGAACACGACGACGGCTTTGCCCTCTTCCACAACCTAGCCGGTCTCTGTGACCGTCACCAAGCGCTTGACGGCGACCCAGACACCACGCGCCTTTGCGCAACCGCCGGCTGCTGCCGTGGTACGCAAGAGTGCGACGACGCTGTGCCCGCTTCCTCGAACTCGCCGGATTCTGACATCACAATCAGGAATAACATCGTGATCGGTCTTGCTTCGGGACTTCGTAAGGCGATCGACGCCCTCCCCGTTGGCTCTCAAAAGCGCGATTTTTGTGCCCTTGGTCAAAGTTTGCTCGCTTATAGCGTCGTTGTTTAATCGAACCTGACAAAAAAAACCTCCGTAGACATGTTGTAAGAGGTCGCAGATACTGAATTTGCCATAATTTCGCAAATTTAAAACCTCTTCAGTGTCCCTTTAGGTGCATGCATAGTCCAAGTTAAGGCACATACAAATGAATTGAACAGAAATGAAACACTCCTTACAAACACGTACAAAGATTCATTGTTCGAAACCATCTAATAATTTATTCATCTCAATTCATCCCACCACCTTTTGACGCGTAAGCGCGAGCACACGCGTGCTAGTGGTTGGCACTTAAGTCACCCGAAAGCTGTCTCTTTTGCGCGTTAGAAATTGAAGAAAACGCTGCCTGCAGGTTTAGACAACCAAAATATATGCGCTAAGACATCTTTACGCATAGCAGACAGTGCTGTCATTAAGGCAAGGCAGCGCTCCCAAAGCAGATGATGTCGCGCTACAATGTCTTATTGTGGCATGATGTTTATGCGAGTACCCAAGGGCTCATTCCCCGTGTTTATCAACGCTTAGAAGAACACCAAAGTGTATTTACGAACTGGTTTGTGACCCGTATCTCCATATTCACAATCCTAACTTAACCTTGTTCTTATGACTCAAGTCAACCTTAGCCATAAGTCCACCCTTAACACGTTTCAAAAACCTATTTTGTACTTATCGCGGAACTTTCCTCGTACTTAAGTAAAGCTCGGTTAAGGTAGCCTATCCTCCGTGTTCACAAGCCCCGCCGCGGTGGTCTAGTGGCTAAGGTACTCGGCTGCTGACCCGCAGGGCGCGGGTTCGAATCCCGGCTGCGGCGGCTGCATTTCCGATGGAGGCGGAAATGTTGTAGGCCCGTGTGCTCAGATTTGGCTGCACGTTAAAGAACCCCAGGTGGCCGAAATTTTCGGAGCCCTCCACTACGGCGTCTCTCATAATCATATGATGGTTTTGGGACGTTAAACCTCAGATATCAATCAATCAATCCGTATTCACAAACGTTCCTCGACTCGACTTTCACCCTTCACTTGACAAAGTTGAGTACTGCGCCACGGCTCGGCTGAAAATCACGCTGCGCTACTGAAGAATCGCAACAGATAATCGCTTATATGCAGTAACCTCCCGTGCCTAGAGACGGCGCTCCCATCGGCTTTCTCAAGTGAAGATGAAGCTTCGAGTGAAGTGACGTTCTAGAATACGGGGGTATACCATACCTTAAAGGTTCCGGAAACAACATGTTGGGGGACAATTTTGCATATTCCATTTATTGTGTGGGCCGCGAAAAAGAAATATAGAACGACACAGCTTCCGCAGACACGTCATCACCGCGGCGAGTCCTCAACGATCGGCGGAACCTGGTTGACACCTACTACAAGCAGAAATTTTCGTGCCAGCCCCACTTCACATAAAGTGCCATGAAGATTGTGCTCGATGTGCTGTTTCTGCGGGCAAATATCCATGGCCTTGGGATTGTTGTGCCCCGTCTTACGCAGCTGCTTTTCGCGTCGTGCTTTTATGAAGTTGGCACGTTTCAACTTGGGAGCGACGGCCTTGTCACTGTCTCGTAGCCGAATGTGTCACGAGTATACAGTAGAGCGAATACCTGCTATTGTTGCAAAAACACTTTTTCTTGTATCAGTAAAACTTCTCGAAGTGGCGGAAACACTTATCTAGTTGTTTGGTTGGTCGTTCACGGGTGCACAGTGTGTCGATTGTTGAATTCTATCGAGAGCTGCTTCCACGTTTTTTTTTTGTTTTCTATGAAGGCACATGCTGTCCGTCTTGGTACTTGTTCACGAATTTCGTCAGGGCGTAGGCGCTTCGTCGGTAAAGTTTACTTCAGTGCACCATTCCACAATAAATGCAACTTCGCAAAAAATGATGTAAAACCGCTCAGCTTATCAAATAAACCTGGTGAATTATAAAAAAGTGAGAGAAAACAGCAAACGCAGTATTGGGCACCATGGCACCACCGCACACAAAAAAAAACATACAAGACGTCTAAATAACAAAAAACACCTGCGTTGACAGGAGTTGGAGAAAAGTGGCCACACGAATATTGTATATTTCACTGAAAGCGGCCGGTGCCTAAACAAACAATGCTATTGTTTACGTTCGGCTGCTTCTGTGCATTATACTGTTGTTGGTTTCTTGCAGTTAAAGCTAACCAATTGCTGCTCGAGGTAATAACTTCGTAGCAAAATTACCTAACCTCGTGCCTAGGACCTTTACTTGACGTATTAAGGACGCCTTTCAGAAGACGGCCTAGCTTATGACAACGAGGTTTCTGAAACGCACCTTGTACTTTTCGCCTTACCGAGGTCGGTTCATGAATACGGCGGGTAGTGTGCGGCGCACTATCGCTTGCAGTTCCAAACATGAATACGTTCAGGGCATGCTGCGAGTTCACAACGCTCTCATTTCGGAGCTAAGTGTGTTTGTGAGCGCGAGTTTTCCAGATGAACCTCTGTAGTTGCATATAAGCAGTTTTGAAAAACCATTTAGGGTTTCCAGTCTGTTGAAAAGGATGCAGGTTTTGGAATGAAGGTTCCGTGTAGAATATTGTTGACAGGCACTGAAAGTTTTTTTGTGAATTAACATTTGCACATTTATTGTCATATGCTACAGACTTTAAGCAATGAGTTAGAATGCCGGAAACGCACATGGAAATGGTGAAGCAGCAAGGTGATTAGTTCGGAACAATACAACGGCAACTATACATTACTGCATGACAAGTTACAAGAAAGGAAGATATACGGAGCAAAAATCTCTTCCGGTACCCTCCCCATGCCTCCAATAAAAGGATTCAATCTCAACCTCATTTTGTCAAGCTCCGGGGAGTTGTTTTCGGAAACTGATAATAATACAAAAACACTTTGCGTGACAAAGCGTGTTTATATTTTTGTCTGGTATGATACTAACTCAGCTTTTAATAAGCAATCATTTTGCTGTTACCAGAACGTGTTTAGGCATGCAAGAGTGCATGGTAGAGTACTCAACCTGGAACCAGAACATCACGTCTTCAAATTGTATAGTGGTGGGACTACTTTTTTATTTGCTGAGTTAATCCTCTATGCATCGCTTTCTAAGGTCACATTTCTGCGTGGCAGCAGGCACAATGATTGTGGCGCTGTAGACCCGAACAATCTTCGCTTTTTATTCTCGAGCATTAGTCATACGTCACATTCCATACTGCGTATGCCACCATATCAAGCTATCATAATAAGGGATGGTGGAATTCACTATTCCATATGATGAAAATATTTTTAATGGGGTTACTACCCACAGTTAGTAACAACCAATGTAACATACCCGTTACTATAGCCTTGCATTAACTACGTTAACAATATTGTAGCAACGTATATGTGACACTTGAAGTTAGCCAGTACTATTAGCTTTTTTATGAGTGTAGTGGAGGACCCTGAAGATTTCGACCACTCGATTTTTCAACACGCACCGATATCTCCGATCACGACCATCAATTGTTTTACTTTCACCGAAAATGCAGTCGTCGGGGATGGGATTCGATCCCACTACCTTGCCGTCAGCGGTGGAGTGCAATGACCACTGTAGCGGACCGTGTGGCTCGAGCAGAACCGATTATAAAAAATCCACTGCGACTGCGATGTTTACTCGAATTCTAGCAAATCGCTAAGTTGCGTATTCAGTTGGGATACCAGTTAACTCGGTTAAGTCATGCCATGCTTACCTGCGGTTTTTTCTCCCTCCAAGAAGCGAGCTGCAGAAAAAGACAATCATTGTATGAGTCACAATTCATTTCAAGGCATTCTTTTTTCATGAAAAACGTTTTATTAGCGAAACAAGATTTCACTAAGTTTGTTTGTGATAAAGCATGTTCCCGTCAAGGCTTAATGCTAGAAGGTGTAGGCTTACACAAGGAGTGTGTTAATTAGTATCTAGGATTACTTTTCTCTGAACCCTTGTACGCCGAAACTCCAGACATTTCAGTAAACGAATATTGTTTTTAACTTGTACCCTCAACAACGCACTAAATGTCTGTTAACTATAAAGTAAGTGGAACACTTTTGCAAGCTGTTTTACATGCTAGTCACTGGGTTCATATACCGGTTCAGTAAACCTCAAAGCATTTCACGTACACACCAATGCCACACTTGGCACAACAAGTTGTTTGCTCGTGGCAGCGAGAGCTCCTTGTCTGTTTACTATTAGGGGCAACGATATGGTCCGTCCGGTCAAAACGTGTCGTGCCTAAATGTTATACTGGCGGGATTTCCCGCGGAACGACTTGCATCCGACTTGCAAAGCGAAGGTGGTCGGGTTGTAATTTTTTTTAATTTTCAGTGACGCATCATAAAATGACGTTAAATATATGTAAAAATGTTGCACGCACCGACATATGTTGAAGAGTTGGAGACGTTTACATAACCAGCTGTTGACTCTTGCACAACAATGCCAACAGGAAAATGAGTATTAGCAACACCACAAGCGATAAGCTTATATGAAGCGCTGGTGCTCGCGAGAATGGTAGACACTACTACATAAATCAACTCCAGCGCATGACCCCTAACCCCAAATGACACAGAATAACACCGCAAATTTCGTAATGCTGATACGAGTGCCTTTTTTTTGCTCTCAGCTCTGTTGAACATGCGCGAAGAACCATGTATGCGCGTTAAATACATTTTTCTGTATTATAAAATTCAGAATAAGCACTGTCCTTGTCAGCCTTTTGTGTCTGTGTGTTTTCGGTGGGCTTCAACAAAATTCCCATTATTACGCTAATCAGACGTGATGACTGTGTCATAGAGTTACATATGTAATATTTATAAAATTGGATAGCTAGCACTGCAAGCACAATTGTCGTTTCAATATGAATAAAAGCAAACGCCGACAAAATAGACTTTTTAAAGTAAGAAAAAAAAAAAGAAGTTTATTCGGTCGGTGTTCGCTTACATTCATCGTGTTTTGTCCCGAAGAGACTGGTTTCCGCCGAACTCTCGATTTCATTTATTTGACGTTTCACGGAAGTTAGCGTCTATTTAAAAAGTAGGTCCGAGATCAGGCGTGGCTCTGTGGTAGAATGCTTGAATACCACGCACGCAGATTGCTTGGGAAGGGGGCGGAAACTCCCTATACCTCCCATGTATTCGCTCTTGGCAGCAGAAGCGCCGCTTTTAGCGCTGGCGGTTGCCGGGTTTTTTTACTAGAAATAAATAACGAACAGAAAATGTCTTTCATGACGTCTTTAGTGACGTTTAGAAATAGAGAGAAAAAAGACGAAAATTGAGAGGAGGAGAATTGGCGCCGAAGCCCTGCTCTCCCACTTCGCATGCAAGCGTAAATCGCTCACGACTTCTTTCAGGCCCGCTAGCCAAATTTTGTTAATCTTTTTTTCGTGTTTTCTGAAGAGGTGACAGTTAAGCTGACTGATTTCTCAGTAAGACGAAACTCGATCCGCACAAAGACAACGAACTTTTTATTGCACGTTTTGTATAAAAGAAAACAGACATACACTGTAGCGAGAAAGTTTCAATCGAAAAAAGCAGCTTTAACTTACAACTGACATACGGACATAATGAGCAAACGTTGAACACAGAATGTCTGAAGCAATGCGAAAATTATGAATAACACGTCGTATTTGACTAAATGACGTTTGTTACAACGGCGCGCATACTTTTCTTGGGGAACTTGAGTACCAAATGATACTGAAGTTCTGACGTATACGGAGAGGCTTGAAGAGATCAGAAGTTTTTCGAGAAAGAAGGCCGCGAAAAACAATGTTTCGGCAAGTTGACTTGTTCTCGTCAGGACAACAGCGTTTCCTTGACGAAAAAAAGTTCACTTGTCGAAATTTGAGCTGCGTCGAAATTCTTTGTGATAAATTTTAGAAGCCTTAGATGGACGGACGGACGAATGGACGCTCAAAATATCTGCAGGACGCTAAGAAATGCTTCGAATTTCAAATCTCAATTTTACGTGCAGCTAACCACGAAACAAAATAACAATATTGTTCGCCGGAATGAAAACGCGCGCTCACACCAGTTGTTCGTTACGTCACAGCGCGCGAGAGCTCCAGTGTACTGAGTGTTCTCCACGAACGCCCCTGGCACATGGCTAATCGGAACTGCCACTGGAACCGCGCTATCATTCCGTTGGCGCAGGAGCTTGCGATCGTCAAGCGCTGGAACCCACTGGTGAGTCCGAACAACCCGAAAAGATGCGATTTGAGCTCTCATCTCTGGCCGGCGGCGACACCGCGCGGGGGAAGCTGAAGCGAGCAATTTACCCAGTGAAGAAGGCTGTGGCGACTTCTGCGTTTATTCACTTGAAGTTCCATGCTTCAGGCCATCAGGTGTACCGATTGATGGCATGAGGCAGTAGCGATAGGATCCAACAGGGGGTATGGTTCTATGATATCGAGGTGAACGTGCTGTAACCGACCAGAGGGCCGAGGGGAAACTTCGAGCTGTGAGGTGACGTGCCTGGTGACTTTAGCGCGTTAGCATTGAATACAGGAGTGCGCCCGTGTGCGACAATCCCGCTGTATGGAGGGCCAGGCGTAAAAGTCAGCCAGCAGTCATGTAGAGGAGCTAATGCCGGGATGGGTGAGGTTGTGAAGCTGGTTAAAAAAGGCCACAGTGATTGGTCAGGGGCCGACGCACACAGGGCCTGCTTCGTCCTGTCGCCAAGTCACAGTATATTACTGTGTAATTGAATGTAGGAACAGCTCAATCTAGAAGTAGTTACTGCGTAACTACGGAAGCAAAAAAAAAACAAAGACAGAAAGTTTCTGAGGACCCACAATTGAGATATTCTGCAGTTCAGCGTCCGTTCACCTCGAAGATGACGTTAGCTGTTATCTGTGAAAAGCTGATAGCTGCCCTAGTGAAAATGCGTCGGCGACCACATTTTCTTTCCCGCCGACAAGCTCGATCTTCGTGGTGAACTGGGCAATGAACAAGAGCAGAAGGTTCTGCTTCTTAGCCGGGACTTTTGATTGATATGTGAGATTTAAAGTCCCGAAACCACCATATGATTATGAGAGACGCCGTAGTGGAGGGCTCCGGAAATTTCAATCACCTGGGGTTCTTTAACGTGCACCCAAATCTGAGCACACGGGTCTACAACATTCCCGCCTCCATCGGAAATGCAGCCGCCGCCGCTGGGATTCGATCCCGCGACCTGCGGGTCAGCAGCCGAGTACCTTAGCTACTAGACCACCGCGGCGGGGCGACGGCGGGAGTTTGTAGTGTCGTCGCGAGAAGGCGTAGGTAGAGGTTTGTGGTCGGTATAGATGATGCAGTGCTGTGCTTCGAGACAATGGCAAAAGTTTTGACGTGCTTCGTACATCGCTGCGTGCGCCATGTGCGCCCATGAGTTGGCTCGGCGGCACGTCAACAATCGTTCGTCCTTACCAACAGCTACTTTTCACTATGCAGCTTCTTGCCCTGGCGTAATCAAGTATTGTGAAGCTTGCCCTCAGGGGGCCCTACGAAATACACCGCGCTACAGGGGGCACCGTGGTGGCCTCAGATGTTTCTTTGGGATACGCCCTGCTCTGAGCGCCAGTCTTACCCGGCATGAAAGGCTGCGTGAGCCATCTGCGCACATGAACAAATGAACTCCTGCCAACTATATCATCGACGATCTTTCTTCCAGCCTGCTATCGTGGGGAGGGTTCCAGTTTTGCATCGATGATAGCGACACCCCTTCCACCAAGATAGGAATGTTTCCTCGCCATCGCCTGCGCACCTTTAGTTGGCTAGATAATTTCAGGCCTGCTCACTACTCCTGCCGCTGTCTGACGCTACTCCGTCCTGATCGTCGTGTTTGGCAGCACAGACACGCTTGCTCACGCTGTTCGACAGAAATTGATTGCCAAGCCAGCTTTTGTGGCGTGTTGATGTGTTTGCTCGTGACTGCATAAAAGCGTGTTTTCTTGTGTCTGAACTGCAGCGTGCATATGTGATGAGCATTGTGCTCTGAATATTCGCATACTGTACGGCTGCAAATCTGCGCGATGAGGCGATACTGCGTGCCGAATTGCCGCGGAAATCACGACAATATACCAAAGGTGCAACTGTTGATTCCTAAGGACGTCTGAAGAACCAAGTGGGAGTGTTCCGCGCGTCGAGATGGCATTCTCTTCGTGACCTTAAGATACGCATGCGCCCGTACTACATACTTCTAAGTCGTTTCATTGGCACTGTATGAAACATGCGTACCAATCTTGCTCTGAAATAAAGATGTCGCACGCTTTCTGACTTTTTAGCGTAAACCCATGACATTAAAGCAATAAACGCGCACGTGTCAGCACATTCTCAGAATAGGAGTTCTTTCAAAAGGGTCGGTAACATTGCGCTATTTTCGAATAGCACAGCGGGCTTCTTGTAGTACTTCCGTTTACTTAATTGTAAAAAAAGCAAATAATGCTGGCGCGTTGCTTAGTGCATCGGTTTTGTGCATAGTATTATCTTGCTGGTAGTCCAACCACTTTTTTGCATTACTTTATTTTTGCGGCAGTGTGGCCAGCACTTTATCCTAATATTTCCCGTGTTTCCTTGAAATATATAGTACTGATGTATTTCAGCCGAATTTAGGTGACACCTGCACTAATCGCCGCGAGATCGGGCTATTGGTGGCAACACTGTCCCGCAAAATTGTGGATAGGCGGTATAGGCGGCGCGTATACAAATACAAGCAGCGGCGCTTCGTTGCGCTCGTTCTGAGCCGACTGTCGGCAGATAAAATGCGTTG